ACAAAAATACTTCTGCCCTTGAAGCACTCATAGGTGATATTAGGAGCCAAATGCTTTAAAATCCAAATTGGTATAAACTACTGTCGAAACACACAGAGAGGTGTGTAAAACCGCTTAATTTTGAAAAATAGGAGAAGTGCTATTGCTTTAAAACTTAAAAATAATGTGTCAGGTGTGTTTATTTAGTAAAGACCACACAAGAACAGTTGATTAAGTTATCGTCTTTATTGTTGAACAAACATTTCCGTTTACATTTCTACTGGTTGGGATATGTATTGAAATACTCATTAACCAGCTTCATTTTCGTTGATTCTCATCCTCACAAATTTATAGTCACCAACCAAATCAGCCATTTTATGCAGTCCTGACCTCATCAAATTATTACTCCCCCACTTTGTCAGTAACTGCACGTAACCATGACCTCATCACATTAATAATATCCTCCTACAAAATCAGTAACTCCAGGTGAATATGTCACCGTCATATTAATTAAGGCACAAATTAAAGGTCACTGCTGTTTCGTTTAATAAAACTTTATATCAATTAATTCAAATCTTATGATATTTTTCGTCCTATTGTACAAATGATTCAAAATACCATCCACAATAAGAGAGATATACAAATGATATTGCGTGTATCAAAATTTGCTTTTGTAGATATTTTCTAAAACAAATTGAATTGAATGAAAGTTAAAGTGGCAACATAGTTAATTACTGTAGTGGAAACAATGTTAGAATTACAATTTGCAAAATAAAAAAGAACATTCCTATATCAATTAATATTGAAAATAAAATAAAATATGTTTCTAGTAAAATGTGATTTACAGAATAAATGCCAGACTTAAAATTCTTAAACCAGACGTCGTCAATATCAAAGACTGACAATTAAAGTTCCTATCACATTTGTGAACATTCCAATAACTGTCGCTATCTGATGAACGTGTTGAATTTAGTATATTGCGTATTCGTTACATTTCCGGAAACTTATGTTATACAATAAATAAATTTTATATAAAAACAATACCACATATTACAATAGATTATCTTTAATAGTGAAATTTAATGAACGCGTTAAAATATTTAAGATTATTATAACATGATGAACTGTTAAAGGAATCGTGTTTCTCGACCTAAAAGTTATAGAAACATGATCGCGTGTTGCATACATTTTATTGGCGGGCATGCATTATATTGTGGTTTTATGTCCATGGACAACTAAAATGAACACATGCAGAAATGATCATGTCGGTATTATTACGTGCATGGAATACCTCTTCTATACTACATGTATATAGATAGCATTTTATACGTAAACAAAGCGTTATTACTTTAAGCTATATAAGATAAAAACAAAAACAAAATGCATTTGATTAATCTTTATCTAAAAGTGTGTATTTCCATAAGATCGTTACTAAAATAATTCAAACATTTTTCGTCAGATTGTTAAGAATAGTGTTGTATTGCAGCATGAATTTTGTTAAAATTGTTTTCACATTTCGAGAGGTGTATAGAAAGTATGTGTAAAAGACCGATTGTGTTATTTATGTAAACCTATATATTTGAGAAATGTTATACAGAATATAATATAATAGTGAATTTAGTAATATTTAATTTAAATACTGACCTTTCACATTTATGACATTCCTAATGAAAACAAGTATGGTAAGTGGATACATTTCTGCATTTCCTGTGATTGTACTCAAATCTTGATTCGAAAAATTCAAATTTATATACAATTTATGTACACATGAAAAGACTTACTTTATCGTTTGATTTATGAAATACACATAACAAAAGGAGAAGAACATAGCCTAATTTCTTTTTTGTTTATTACTCTGGAAATATGTCCTGTGTTTTATCAGATGAACGTATGGACTGAACTGAAAATAACATCTTTATCGAAACAGGCCAACTTCAATCAAATAGTTTTGGCACTTTTGAATTCAAATCGATTTTCACGATATCAGATTTTACGAAGAAGCCTACACATCAATCATATCTATAATACATTCAAATTTATACGTATACGTATATGCCAATATGTCATCCATACATATCGTAAATAATAACATAACTGATCAGAATTAATTGGCAAGACGAAATGGCCAGACATCCCACTACAAGTCTTTCACTATATATATATATATATATATACTTATCGGAACGAAACATTTTAAACATAAACTAAAAATCTTCAAACCAGGAAAAAAAATCTGGCAAAAAACATACCCAAGATCGGTAAACCTTTCCTTTCCAAACAGATTTGGTCAGGAACATTTTCATTCACATCGCTGGGTACTTCCAAATGTTTTTGTTCTATACGAATATATTACGCAAAAACTAACCATTTGAAAGTGCATGTACTTAACTCCGATCAGGCGGGTTATATGATAACACAGATTCGATTCCAAGTATGGTTGTAAGTATTGGTGTCCCAATTATCAGTCCTTATACTTGCATTCTTCTCTCTCATACTATCCGTACCAACATTTTATCTGTCGCACACTATCCGTACCAACAGTTTATCTGTCGCACACTATCCGTACCAACAGTTTATCTGTCGCACGCCATCCGTACCAACATTTTATCGGTCGCACACTATCCGTACCAACAGTTTATATGTCGCACACTATCCGTACCAACATTTTATATGTCGCACACTATCCGTACCAACATTTTATCTGTCGCACACTATCCGTGCCAACAGTTTATATGTCGCACACTATCCGTACCAACAGTTTATCTGTCGCACACTATCCGTACCAACATTTTATCTGTCGCACACTATCCGTACCAACAGTTTATCTGTCGCACACTATCCGTACCAACATTTTATCTGTCGCACACTATCCGTACCAACAGTTTATCTGTCGCACACTATCCGTACCAACATTTTATCTGTCGCACACTATCCGTACCAACAGTTTATCTGTCGCACACTATCCGTACCAACATTTTATCTGTCGCACACTATCCGTACCAACAGTTTATCTGTCGCACACTATCCGTACCAACATTTTATCTGTCGCACACTATCCGTACCAACAGTTTATCTGTCGCACACTATCCGTACCAACATTTTATCTGTCGCACACTATCCGTACCAACAGTTTATATGTCGCACACTATCCGTACCAACAGTTTATCTGTCGCACACTATCCGTACCAACATTTTATCTGTCGCACACTATCCGTACCAACAGTTTATCTGTCGCACACTATCCGTTCCAACAGTTTATCTGTCGCACACTATCCGTACCAACATTTGATATGTCGCACACTATCCGTACCAACATTTTATCTGTCACACTATCCGTATCAACAGTTTATATGTCGCACACTATCCGTACCAACATTTTATATGTCGCACACTATCCGTACCAACATTTTATCTGTCGCACACTATCCGTACCAACATTTTATATGTCGCACATTATCCGTACCAACATTTTATATGTCGCACACTATCATAATCATACAAAAGCATATACGTTTTGCCGAGTTGATGAATATGACAAATTGAAAGATAAATCAGCACTGTATAGTTCGATCAAAAGTTTTATTGCTATCATCTAATTTTTGATATATACAAACCAGTGATTATTACTTAAAACACTATCTATGTAAAAATTGCATTCTATTTAACATCTATTCTATTGAACAGGGTATCTGCTTTTTGTGGCATTTTGAACAACAGTGATTCATAAAGCACAATATCTATATTCACAATATGCTACACATAAAGCTGCAACACTTTTTTGCTTTATATTTAATTGTATTTGCCATTATCAAATAAGTTTTACATATTGAAATAAGCACTAGATCAAATACATCAGTTATCACATTTCCAATCATAAATACATTGTATACAAATATTATATCACAAATTCTGTTTCCGAGAAAGACAAGTTCTTCCTAGAGTAAAAGGATGGCCAAATAAAGACAGCATTTTGCAAGTATATATTTCTATCTGTCAACTCATTCATGGCTTACGATAATAAAATTATTTCATTCACATGTCTATTAAAGTATTTGAGTAACGACATAGATATCTGTCGTTTAAACACAATTTGTATGTTAACATTGTTTGAAACATAATAGGGTGAAATCGTAACACTTTTAGCTAGGCTTAGATTTGTTTTCTTTTGCATAATATCGAACTATTATACTATTCTATATCCAAACAGAAAACAACTGGTTTATCTATTAGAAGTTTCTACCTTTTTGCATCAAAATATAAAACGACTTAGCTTTGAATAGCACCTTACAAAAATCAATACTTCATAGAAACAGTAAAAGTGTAAAATTACATCTCACAATACAATAAACATGTTTATTGTACTATAACAAGATGTATCGTTATGAACACTTGATTAGCAATATCAATACTAATTTCGTTGAGGAAATGTATAATATGCAATATAAATGTATCATAAGAAGAACGACAGCGGTAGGAGAGTAGGCTATACAAACGATCATTTATCACAACTTATAATAGGAAACATGAGATAAATAACAGATTCTAAAATTACTTATTGATAAATATCTATGAACACAAACCATACAATGTTTCATGGGCTATCCTTTTAAATCTGGTAAGATATTTCAAATCATATTTCGGAAAAATCTGATTTAATGTAAAAAGAACAAAAACAAAACAAAACAAAAACTGCGATATGAAAAAAAAAAGAATTAAACACTTGATAGATATAATATATTTTATTTTGTAGCATAAATTAACTTGGTCAAACATATTTTATATTATTTTTATTTCAATTAAAAATATATATTGCTTAAATTTCTACTTAAAAAGCACTTCGTTTATTTTTGTTACTAGTAAATGTCAAGTGAATGACCTCCAATGCACGTGACAGGTAAAACCACGCCCATTTTATCTAAAATGATACTTAGGTTACACAATGACTAGTTCAAAGACGTCGATATCAATTATAAAATATCCAAAAGTTTGTGATATGTCGTATGCACGAGAGGCCACTTTCCGGTTGGACTCTCATATCGGTCTCTACGCAGCATTGTCGTAAATTACTATCACAAACACATTTGTCGACGGCTAAGAATTTTGAAAAAAAAATGAAATGTTACCTCCTGTAAAAACATTTATGAAGAAAGATAGGTTATTACAAAATGAATTAAGATAATAAAATTATAATGATGCTATTTTAGGAGAAAAAAAGATATTTTAAAGTTTAACTTTAGCTATATCAGAGCGTCAGAAACGACAACACGTGGTAGAGATCGATCTCAAACATACATTGCTCACATTCTATGGAGGCAAGGTGATGGAATTGACAACGGACAATTTATTCTGGAACTTCTTTAAGTTTGTCTTCTTCTTCATCGCCGAAGTAAAATGCTGCTTTCTCTTCCTTTTCACTTAATTCTTTGTTTTTTCTGTCTTTCCGCTTTTTGTTCACACGCCTAAAAATGAGTAAGCAGTTTCAATCTGATGCATATAACAACAGCAAAATCTTTATTGTTTTTCGATCGTGTCTTATGGACAACATCTCAGACATAGTGGGGCGAGTCGTTCATTTTATAAGTGATAAATAAAACGAATCTGAGATTTCTAGTTTTTTGACAGGGTATACTTACATTTTGATATGAAATCATTTTAAAGATTTTTTTCTTAATCATATCACAAAAAATCAAGGTGAATATCTACATTTAACAAATGTTTTCTCTGATCATATTCCTGTATCAATACCCCCATTAAAATGTATTGTTTTATATAAGACGTCACAAAATGGCGAAGTTATGTCGTTTGTCTGGAATACTTTTTATGCAATAATCAAGAAGACCATGGACGATGATAGCAAAACAAATGACATTATTAAAGCAAAATGTTAGACGTAATATATGAAATGAAGTTAATGTCGGGAAAACTAGGTCAGCATAGATAGCTCAACTGCGATTTAATTTAACAGCATAGGTTCATGTTGTATTCAGAAATTCAAAGTTTTTAGCAAGTGTATGACGGAATGTATAATGAAAACTTGTACGGAACAAAATAATTAATCGCCTCAACGGGATAATGACAAGCATGCTCAGAGATCTGTCCTTAGGATCTGCGATAAGCGTAGAGCTTAAAGCTTAAACATGATCTGGATTTGGATAAAGGCTAAACACGAACTCTAATATACACACGCACGTGACAAATCTCAGTTAACAAAGCATTGAGATATTAAAAAAAATCAAACTTTAGAATTATGATAAATCTCTTTCATGATCACAGGACTAAGATCGGTGAACAAGGATCATGGTACATGTATAAGCATGTGTACTTACATCCCTATGTCTTCGTTGTCCTGTCGACACGAGTCACGTCGGACTTGTAACCAGATTGACGTTTTGCTCATTTCCTCGGAGATGTTTACACGTTCATCAAAGTTTCCTTTAGATTCCTTTTTTTCATACTCTTCTTCTAGTAAACCTTCAGTCTAAAAAAAAGTATTACGTCATCAAACGTTTGTCCGTAAATATGACGATTATAACAAGGAACACATGAAGCCAAATTCCATATCTACTTTTACATATGTAAGACAATGCCACCAAATCAAGCGACCAAGCTATATATATATATATTGTGTTTTTTTCGATACCTCATCTAATTTTCAAATGTGCACAAACTAAAACTAGCAATTGTTTTTAGTGAAAAGTGGAATTTGTTTGAAAGCGGTGTTTTAAGTATATTCATCCATATCGAAACTCACCTCACTTTTACCCTTGTCTTCCTTTGCCCGAGCTTTGTCCTCGGGCATGATATCGTCCAGCCATTTCAGCTCATGCTGGGTAAAGACTTTTTCCATGGCCAACCGCACAAAACATGTACCGGCAACCTACAACAAGAAACACAAATTCATTCATCAGGAATACTTTACATGACAAATACAGGAACCGGTTCCGAAATTTCGTGGTTAGCATAACTAGTACATAAATGCACTAGAGGTATGTTCACTAAATCCCATCGAATCATTATAAATTATGTTTCATTTCTGTTGTACCAATTTAATACACATTCCAAGTAATAAATAAAAAACATGTTACATCCCGATAAAGTGTAAAACAATGATAACTTAAAAAAACACTCACCATAATAGGGAACACAATTGAAATCGACTTGACCTGCTTGATGACCCACAGAATAGACAAGCAGATGATTTGGATGAAGGTAAACAGGTGAACACGCTTGATCCTCACGTGCCGAAGATACAAACGGTCGGGTTGATATTTTGAAGGCATGAATATGATTGCTAACCTGTCCACGAACTGAAAAATACGGTCATGAAATTATAATAAATTAATTATTCATTCATTCATTGAAAAGTTTTAACAAAATATAATATCCATTTCCCGTGGTGCAATTGTGTGTTTGATATGAAGATTTGAATGTACAAGAACCATAAACTAGGTATATATGATTATTTTTCCAAAACTCTGATGAGTGTTACAGAGAGTGTAATTGAAACTGACAAAGGATATGGTGTATCTTTTGTATATAACATCAAACTATACAACTTTCTGCATCGAATAATTATGCCAGGGCTTATAACAAAACCAGCCAGTACATTTAATCATTGGTATGTGTTTCGTTTACCTTCAGGAATATATACAAAACAATATAAACAACAGATTTTTTTTTGTGAACCAGAACAATACATCTCCCATATTAACCACTAGCAGGTGAGGAAAGTGTGCTGTAGATAAACATCGGTATTGTATCAATATAGTTTTACGGTTCAAAACTTGAATTCCCGACAACATGTTGCGTTACTAAAAATATACCATGCTCTTGAATATTGTCACAAATTTGACGTTTAACATAACAAGTGAAGATTACAGCAATCTATGCGCCGTACAAGTCACACATTTCTTAGGTGTCGTCGGTTATTATCAGGGTTCAATATTCAACGGTTTAAAAACGACACCTTGGATAACATTTCCCTGAGACGATTGTCCTTATTTGAGATGTTTTTCCCTATAAAACAAGGTAATAATGGCCTAGTTAAAGTTAATTTTCCTCATTCCGTAAATGTTGCAGGTATACCTTAGATTTCGTCAAGGTAAACAAATCAAACGGTTAAATAGTAACAGCTCGGACGAGATACTATGGAAGGAGAACAAGCAAAAGAACAAAAAAAGTTTCTACTCCTTTATCCAATGCGTGTTTGGGGTGTTATAAACATAGCAACGTTACACAGGGCGATTCATGTCCTCGGTCGTATTATGTTGTCTAGATAAAGTTCATCCTTCTATTAACTACCATCGAGTATGCAGATAGGCTCAGACGCCATTGCTCTCAAAATAGATTACAATCTTGGTATATCAACATGTTTTGGTTCAGAAAGACATTCAGTTATTCGGAGACTAAGACATGTAAAAGCATACTAAATACTTTATTATGACCAATATGTTAGAGTACGATTTGGTAGTTTGTACCCACCTGCATTCCCCGGAGGGCAGCCACTCCCATGTACAAGAACACTCCGTACAGCACAGGCATAGGAATCACCTGTATAAACAATAGATGTATAGTGATGTATCTCGTGCACTGGAACACACATGGGTGTCACTACAAGAGGGAGCGTTAACTTTAATGTGTACTTCTTGATAAACCATTCACTGTCAGACACTTACTTCGTGTTTTTGTTATATACAACGCTGTTACCATAAACAATGTTTTTACCCATGAAAACCTAAAAATCGTAATTTTCTTTGCATTGTATATGCGTAAGCTATTCTAACAGGATCGTTTAGTTGTTCATCAAGGCAAAGACATGGCTAATTACATGGTACCAACTGCTTTCAAATTGGCTAATATCAATAACAGTACACTATCGTATGTACATGTACATTTTGTACCAAAATATAAACAATGACTGATAATGAGACTGATAATCCATCTCTTTACTTACACCCAGGACCTTTGTCAAAAACACAGACAAACCGCTGAGGATTCCAACCATTAGTGCGGTAACACGCTGTTCCCTACAATGAATACCACATTTATATCACTGAGCTGATGAACGCAATGTTTATCTTACCGTTTCCATCTAGGAGTCTACTCAACGGCCATATTGTTATAACAACTAATGTGCAAATTAATGTCATTTGGATACGTCACTTATCGCTTCAAACAATCTGAATAGTGTTTGTTATGACTTTGAATCGATGGTTCACATTTCTATGTTATGAAATTCCTATGCCTGTATTTATGTACTATAAACGTGCTTATTTAAGCACTTTGCACTATAATATAATTGCGCTAATTGACGTATTTTTTTTATTTATTTTTTTTATATTGCAAATAGTGCAGATGATATGTATATTCAATAAACTTAATAGCAATTATTTGCGTTGACTAACATAAGTTGGCTTACATTATATGTTTCCAGAAAATACAAGTGTAGTATCCGTGACATTTCAAACTAGCATGTACATGTCATAAGCAACAGCATTTCATACCGGTATGACAACAAAACATTTTCTATGCATGTGCCTACGTGTTGTTTTTAAGAACTAGAAACTTGGCAAGTAAAATGTTTTATTGTAATTAATGAAGTTTAATAATGTTTTCACGAAATTGTGGTTCATTGCAAAAAGGAAGACACGTAGAGGACAGATGTAAAAACACTTACCGGACGCCAAGGAAGGTAGGTTTTTCGCCAGGGGCAGTGCACTCCGACTCCTTTTTAAGACTCATGACATGAGCCAAGGCAGAGACGGTGGCGGCTACATACCAGGGCAGACCAAGGAAGGAGCAGGCGATAATGCATATGGCAACCACCATCATATCTAAATGGTAACCACTGCCTTTCTGCAATACATGAAAGAGGTATAAAGTTATACATAAGAGGACATATTAATTGTGGAATAAAACCTCAAACAAGGAATAAAATATTCATCTATTAACTAACTCATTTTACAAAATTAGGGTTAACTGTTCCACTGATCTTTGTTTTCGGTAACAGAAAAGGAAAAATGCACGACCAGACTGGGGTTCGAACCCGGGACCTTCCTAACTCTAGACGGACGCTCAACCAATTGAACTTTCTGGACGCCGACGATCGACCCAGTCCAGTTCCGCTACACATGTACAGCAGAGCGATACTACAACAATCTGAAGTCCAATGATCGAATTCCAGTCGAACCCACTTACGTTTTGTACTCAGAACACTCTTGTTGGATATATTTTGTTTACTTCCCATTTATGATCTGTTTCATAAAATTCCCATATAAAGTTATTGCCATGCAGGGAAAAAGCAGTTTCCAATAGGTAATTACAGCTATTGGGATTCTTAAACTCCGTTTAACACGGATTAAATCAAGTTGTTACAATATACCACCATTATTTTTCAACACCTCCAGGTGCATTTTTTTTCTAGGAAAATATTAATATCATCTTTCCCCACCTTAAGGGTAAGACAGAATAAAACCCAACCCTAGGGACAAGCATTCTCTGTTTTACTACTAAATTAAAGGAATATCGTTTTTCTTCTACATATAATAAAAATGCAAACGTTTATTTCATACTTTCCAGCAGATCAGAGTTATCTTCTTAGATCTGTTGTTGTTGACGTGACGCCAATGTATTGTTGACGTGACGCCAATGTATTGGTGAGAGTTACGTCATTCAATTGTTATAAAAAGGGAATCCCACGTCTTTATCATAAAGTAAATTTATATTTCTAGACCAGAAGTTTGGATATCTCTGTCTGATAAGGGTGCAAAACATGTCTTTACCTTTCATAGGACAGACAGCTCACAAGTGCTTTCGGTCTTGAAACAGCACAATTGCGTCATCAGTTTATAAAACGTAACCATGGTAATGTCATCATTTTATTCACGCATTTCATGTACCCTTGATGATGGTGTCGTGCATAGTATTCACCATTACAAATGATTAAACTGTAGGAAAGTGTGTGCGTGTGTTTTACAATTTATCTTGTGTGATGAAGACAGAGAAATATCAACACCCGGAATAAAATGTCGTTGTCTGCTTCACAATTGGGCGATGAATTTTATTATTCTTTAACCAAGAAAGAAAGGGTTGTAACACAGGAAACTTCATAAGCAGACACTATCGATAGACACCACTAGAATGTTCAAGTGCTAACCAGAATTGCTCTTCGGTTCTGCTAACTGATGACATAGTTTTTACAAACTATCGGTACATTTGATCAAAATATGGTTTTGTAAGCGAACTGATATAAATGTATTCTTGTCTTACCTTGAGTTTGTTCTCCTTCCTGTTGACGATGACAGCTGTGATCTGTTGGTCCATGAACACAAGGATTACCGCCAACGCAGCGGGAACACAAGCTGCTATTGCCAACCACCAGGGGTTGTCAGGGTGGATCGGGTTGATTAACCATCCGCGGCCAGGTTTACTCGTCTGTAATTCACATTCAAATGAAATATTTATATCTGGTTTTCCTTGATCAATCGTGTTTCTCAACAGCTTTGCATTAATTTTAATTTGAAGATATAACTGATATACAGAAAAGATTTGTAAATAAATCACTCACTCTTAAGAAAACACAGTACTCGGATAACCTTGTAATAGTCCGAGTACCGCAATACTTATTCAGACAGATTGCTTTGGCAACTCTATAATTAATACTTAAGTCTTAAATACTTGATAATTAAAAAATAAAAATCAGCAATATTTTCAGAATGTAAATATGCCTCAGATGTATTTGTGCATAAGTCTGTATGCTTTAAAGATTGCTGTTTTTAACTCCGGTTTCAATTTCATTTTTTCTATTTAAACCTCTCATTACCAAACCGTTTAAATGTTGTAACCCAGCAAATGCAGCAACTAAATTATATTTTCCTGAAAAGTAAAACACTCGTATTTTAGGATATACTCATCAACATTACTTACAGTGAATTCGGTAGGTACATTAAGTTTTGGCGTTGGTACACCGATCAACATGTCTATGCCAACCATGACGATGATGGATATGAGGACGGCGAAGTCACTTAGAAGTTGACGTACCTGTACAGGTGATAGAAATAAAGCTACGCTTAAACTGGCATAGGGGTCGCAGTGGAAAGTACATCATTACGTATAGTGTACGGAACGGATCGAAATTGGCCAAGAACATTATCTGTATATCATTTAAAATAACAAAAGTATTGAATAATTTATGTAAATAATGTTGTGCACATTCTGTCATATTACAACGACTGAGATGTTAAAATCATAATTTTACGTTGTATAAACATACAGGTCATGGGTTACAATGCATACGTCATTGCATAAAAGCATGACTCACACGACTTTAGCAAGTATGCAATTGCATATTGCTGTTCCTCTTCAAATAATATTATATATTATAAAACGCTTTAATAATAACGATCTTATTAGGACAGTATTGCCTATCTTATGTCGTTTAGGAATGACAGCATATTTTAGAATGTAAATAATAAAGATAAAGTGCTGATAAAACAGTTTCGGCCTTAGCTCTCTTCTTCATGTGACATAAGGGTCGTGAGGGGGTAAAATCCAGTACAAAGAAATAGAAATCTGAATAGACGTTATGTAGGTACATAACGATCTGATGTTGAAATTTGCATCATTAAAATGCGGAAACTTTTGCTCAATAACACGTTTATTGAATGTAATGAAATTTGTTGTAGTTAAATAGTTACAACGTTTAGCACTTACAGCAGAAGGGAAAAATTGGCCGGTCTTCATGCCAGTGAGCGTGGAAGCGATGACGTAGGTGCCGAGGAAGAGGAGAATAGAGAGGAAGAATACATTGGGTTTGAACTCAGCATGCTCCTCGCATCCCTCCCCTGCCAATGTCCCGTTGTACATCTCGCACGAGGAAGTGCTGAAGTTGCGCCAATCTACTACCATATTGCTGGAGTTCTCTGCCCCTTGAGAGTACACGTTATATCCACTGTATGTGGCGTTGAAGTTGGTTCCGTTGATGAGTGTTTCGTTGAAAATTGGGTTCAAGCAGTCGCACACGTCGCTATAGTGATGCGGGTTCAGAGGATACTTCTTGATAATGCCGAGTTCCTTCTTGAAGGCTTCATAGATGAAGATGATAGCAATGAGGCAGGCGAAGCTTTCCTCTGTGAACCGCGTGATGTATCTGACTAGAGCGCTTAGGTCAAAGGCCACGATTATTATACAATATCCCGCCGTCCAGAGACCTACCCAACATCGGAAAGGCATGTAGACAAGGCCCTGATCCCTAAAATGACATAAATACCACTGTCAAATCTGTCTACATAAATCTGTCTGAATAATACAGAAGCCTCAATGATGATTAGCTCTCATCTGGTTTTACATATAATTGTTTAAATACAAACTGTATATCTCTGTATTAACCTATCATACAACGACATTCGCCAAACTAACAACATACACATAATTCACAGGTTCCTATTTCTTGATTCCGTAATTACATGGTACATATTATACGGTAACACATAAATAAGAACATATCACTTTAAGTATGTTTCAGTTTTGCATTTTTTGTTAGCTTTAAGTCCTTACATTTTGACTGCCAATACTGATTCATAAATGCTATCCAATATGTATCATCCTCGATATCCAGGGGTTGCGTTCACTTTCGATCTCTACACCCCTGGAATATGTCATAGCAAAATTGAAGGCACGAAGATAGCTGTTTGATTGGTCTCAGGTAAAAAGAACCTGACCAATCACTAGGCTGGTACCTGTCCTTTGAAGATTGCAAAGGAGAGACGCCCGACTTAAAAGCCTGTATATTTTTACCGTTACGTGACCGCGAGATTCTTTTTATGCACATCAAAGGATCGAACTAGTGTTTTTGTCTCATCAACAAGGTGGCGCACACCGAACCGTCAATTGCTATGACAAAATCCAGGGGTGCAGAGAGCGAAAGTGAGCGTAACCCCTGGATATCGAGGATGCTATGTATTAGCTCCGAGACTCATAAATACAGTATAGACATGTTCATGAATCGAAGATTTATAATACACTCTAGTCAATTTCTGTAAGCTCTGACAGTCAAAATATTCTTTGGACAATTATTGTTAACTCAGACACCCACAGTACACTCTAGTCATGTATCGGTAATTCAGACACCCACAGTACACTCTAGTCATGTATCGGTAATTCAGACACTCATAGTACTCTCAAGTCAATTATTGTTAGCTCAGTAATTCAAAGTACACTCTAGTCAATCATTGGTAGCGAAGCCATCCATAGTACACTCTAGTAAGTTATTGTTAGCTCAGAGACTCAAAGTACACTCTAGTTAATCATTGGTAGCTCAGAGACTCAAAGTACACTCTAGTTAATCATTGGTAGTTCAGAGACTCAACGTACACTCTAGTTAATCATTGGTAGCTCAGACACTACAAATATACTCAAGGCGGGTATTGTGAACTCTTATACTTACAGTACACTCTAGTCATTTATCGATAGCTCAGAGACTCCGTGAGCACTTTAGTCACTTATTATTAGCTCAGATATTATCGGTACACTTAAGTCAATTATTGTTAGCCAAGAGACTCAAAGTACACTCTACACAACTATCGTTAGCACAGACACTCACACTACAAAACAATTAATATTAAACATTCTGTAATCACCAATCTCTCGTTGGAGAACCTCTATATACACGAAAGTATGTTTTTGTTAGCTCCACGACTGATATATACACGATAAATCATAATACTCATCACTAATTTAATTTCCCCTATACACTTATCAAATTCAATCGTAATACAATTCGCTTTACTTTGGCGTTCATGTCACCTTCGAAATATTGTTTGACGTTATGGCAGTTTCCTACATAGAAAATATTACTTTATACAATTTACATATCTTTACCACTGTTACACGTTTTTCCTCATGGTTTACATTTTTGATAAATTATCTTTTTGAAAAAATCGTCATCCTTGTGACGTCACAATATCATGCTACGTCATAATACATTGCAGCATCCTACATCGAATTTATTTGGGTTGACGTTGCCTCGTGTGAACGATACTTACTTACAAACGTTGAAGAGGATCATTTCTAGCACCAACATTGGTCCTGTACTGCCCAGGATATTAAGGGGCTGACCCGCAAATAAGGCAAACAAGATACCGCACAGGGACGCCGTCAGGATACATTCCATTGTGCCCTTGATGGATATATTTCATTTATCAAAACGAGTATACAAAAGTTATATGCATATGTGAGTTTACGGTTTCCCCATTTAATATCAATTGCATTTCACTCGTGTCGAAGAATTACCGATATTTTACACAGATGTATCGCACTCACAAATTGTTCTGCTATACCTATGAGATACAGTCAAACCTCTGTAAATCGAACTTCGAAGATTCGAATTTCCCGATGTGTCGAACTTACTGCAAAGTCCGGATTTTTTTCCTCTATTATAACACTACTAATATTTTATTCATGAATCGAACACTTATGAATCGAATTTCCTGCTGTTTCAAAGTATAAGTAAGGCCAATTCGTTATGAAATCCGTCGCAATTACCACTAAGACATCGAAGTCACAAATGTACCTGTACGAAATCAATGAAATGTCCCGCGGTCATTTTAACACCCTCACGCTCATGTTTCGGTCTCCAGTGAAAAGTACTGGTGACCATATTGACACAACCCGGTATTCATTATTTTCAGGTAATAAACTGACACCGACTAATTCAGTATTGTTTATTTAAAACAGCATACCAACATTTATAAATGGTATTTAAATGGCATAAATGGCAGTTTTGTGTTCCATTATTTTAGTGACAGCCAATTTTATTTGTGTGAGCCATTCCTTTCCTTTATAAAGTTTCGGCTTTCTTTTTTCATATAAACTTATTTCTCTCCTTTTTTTACTGATTTCGAATGAAAAAAGTAACTGTCCATCTTTGGAGAAGAGAGAAGAAAATATGTTTGGAAGTGAAGGAAAATGGACGGAGACAAAAGACGGGTGACCATATATTTGATATGATTTACTTTGATATACATATGCTTTACTTATAATATGATATGCAGCTGACTTTGGTGTGTAAATTGCAAATGCCTCAGTGGCTTTTTTCCAAAATATCTCAACTGTGAGGGTACTGGTACTTGCAAGGTCTACCTACCATGTACTGCTCCGTGGCCTGTCCGAGGAGACCGCCGAATGTGACGTTAGGGGTGAGGGTGGCAAGGAAAAGGTAGATGACAGAGGCCACACACTGAATATGAAAACAGTCCTTGTAATCGCTCCAGTAGAATGGTATCTTGCGCTTTACATCAGCGATCAGCCCGCCGAATAATCTAATCGGTAAAAAAATGTATCATATCAGATCATTGACCGGTTAAGATAAGCACGTGTCATACCGCAAATCAATCTCGACTTGAACAGCGATACACATGTATCATCTCGCCGTAAAAGCAGATAGTAATCAATTCATCGTTTATATCCTTCTTAAGAAAGATTCTCTGGTACCACCCTGCCATATAATTTCATCGTGAAAATAGATATACAGGTATTAAACCGCCAGGCCAGTCTCACGTTAAAACCCTCGTTGAACAAACGTTATGAACATACTTAAGAACTCTCCTATCACACAGCTATACATACTCGATAAGGCAATGAAAACAAGTTCTGTATTTAATATACATCATTCTTTTCCTTGAATGACTATGAGAAATCTGGGAAATTAAGAAGATATTATCTGACAACTTAGAATTTAAGTTTTAAAGAATCCTTCCAATGTTTCACATTTGGTGAAATCTACGCATCAACCATACTGATCAACTGGACGCAAAAACACATACATTAGCACGATAAACAATCTGACCAAGACAATAAATACAATTGAAAACATAGAACACTAGTCTAGCCCACGCACCATAAACAAACAAAACAAGTATTCGTCAATCAAATGTTACGACCGAAACAACAAGGTTATTGTTCATTCCAAACAACCCCACTATATTGTATACTATTTATATACTATAAAACAATCTGATAGAGGTTGTACATTAGACACATACATGTGATTGCTCCAATCAAATTTAGTAATAGATATAGTATGCCAAAAACGCAAAACACCGAAGAAAGCAGGTAAAACGAATGATAGATATCACCCAATCAAACTATCTTACCCGACACATACAGTGTGATTGGGTCCATCAACCCATTCCATCATCGTATCCAGCCAATTAACATAATTGATAAAATAAATAAAACTTCTGCCATTAACCTATCAATAGAAAACGCTGGTGTTTTTTTCTTTATTCTCTGACTTGTTTTTCTTTTCAGTTCAGTGCTGTTCCAAATCAATCACTCACCTGCCAGATCGCTGGAGGGTGGGATCGCAGTGAGACTCCTCTTCTTCCTCCTCCTGAGGGCCCGCCTTGGGAGCCACTGGGGATCCGTTCGTGGTTGGGACGGAATTAGTTGTCGGTACTTTTGCTACCTTTCTTCCTTCCTATAATGCACACAAATACACGTTAAAATAAAAGGATTTGATTAAGCATGAACATAATTTCACGTTGAGTTTGCGTTGTTGAACTTTTGCTACTTTTCTTCCTTCCTAAAATACACACAAAGTGATAAGATCGTTCAAATAATATGATTTGATCTAGCACTGATCCTTAGATATCGAATTGTACTCAGTTCTGGTCAATCGTTAGGTTATTTATTAGACTCGGGTGTACATTGGTGGGTTTTCTACCTGTGAAGGCTGTTTACTAGACTCAGCTTGAATTTGTATAAGACTCCGCTGTAAATCGGTAGATTTTCTACATGTGATGTCTATTTACTAGACTCAGCTGTACATTGTGGGTTTTCTAACTGTGATGGTTATTTATTAGACTCAGCTGTAGTTTGGTGTGTATTCTACCTGTGATCGTTATTTACTAGACCGAGCTGTAAGTTGTGGGTTTTCTACCTGTGATGGTACACTGTCAGGTGGCTCGATACGAATCTTAGGATCCCACTCTCCGGGTGGCAGAACTGTCCCCTGGTCCAGGAACTCGTCTATCCCGGATAACAGATCCTGTCGGTTCCTGGCTTTGTATGCCACTTCCCGGAATACCTACAGAGGGAATAGGACACATAAGTTAGATCGAGAAAGTAGATTAGTAAGAACGAACAAGGTATGTTTGTCTTTTTTATATTTGTTTATATTGGTCTGTAAGAAGCACGATGAATTGATCAGTGGGAATTATGTTGGTTTGTCACAATCAATTCTCAACATTAACAAAACATATAAATCGTATACCGTTATTAGGAACAAAACAATGTTGATTTTCAAGCCTTCTTTGTCATTTATGAAGTTATTTTGTATTTGAAAATGACATTGTTCCCAAAACTAACAATAGATGCACTGCAATTGTGAAATGTGAATGGGTATTTCGTTTGCATACGCATAATTTCGAAAATCTTACTAAAGGTTAAAGACTGTAGATTTTAAATGTTCTGCATTTTTAAGTACTCAAACATTACATTTAGGATCATCGTATCTTGTCTAATCTGTAACATAACATGGTTCACATGATTTTACACTTTAAAACGCAGGAAATAGTTAATGCATCAGAAATATCTAGATGAAAAGAATATATCAGTTATATTACCCAACACATTATACGTAACATAAGCATCCAGTGTGACTTACCTCGTCAACGAGGATGGTAGATATGGACCGCCCCATCTCAAAGTTTTTGGCGTAGCTTCCAGTGGGACCAAGCAAGATGAAGATGAATCGTGTGGGAATTGGTACTTCCGTCATGTCACCCACGTGACGCCCCTCCGTTAGACGGACAAATGCCGTCACTTGGTACTTGAGGCAGTCCATTTCGCCTATCATGATGTTGGCAGCCTCTGCGCCCTCTGGGATCTTCCTCATGAAGTCCACATTTAACTATGGAAACACGTAACGTTTTAAGTGATTAAAACCAGAAAATAGGGTTTGATTTATATAATTATATACACATGGCTGATATATCATAGGTCTTTACTTTTGCGTGGATATTAACACTGCTTTAATACTTGTTTGTATTGCTCTACAACTCATCACCCGCTGTCCATCCTGACAACCATGTTTGGAACATCCATCCATACTTTTCTCGTGTTTTGTAACATTACTATTATCCTCGCCTGAGTTTGGTAACTTCCCCTTATATTCGCTTGTTTTATATTTAAAATAACATCCCTTTACCTTTAAATGTGCTCAATGTTCCCCTACCCTTTGCTTATCATTGGCAACGCCCACTTATTGTCTTTGATAGTATTACAAGGATCTAAATAATGAGCCAGGTATAAAGCGGCTATATCAATGTGTAATAACTCCTACAGACCACGACATTCTATATAGAGCAAAAGAAAAAATGGGAACGCTGCAGTATCACTTTAATAACCATTTACTGTAACTGACCTTAGTAGAGGAGGCGGAGTCGGGCAGGTCACCCATGTTCTCCATGTTCGGGATACTGTTAGGGTTGCTACGGAGATTTGCGGCCGACCGATGGGGTAAGTGACCTTGGCTGTTTTCTGTTCAACAACATAACTAAGGAATTATATTTACACTATGCATACCAAATATAAATGCTTTACATTTGAGAATATGTTCTGCAAAACGAAGCAAACATATATAAATTAAAGATCCATTTCAACAAAATCTAACTGCTGTAAAGCAAATTGATTCTATCTAATAAGAGGAAAGTTGTATATGACAATTTTTCTTTTTCTTCCGATCAATGACAATGAAGATGCGTTTTTAAATGGAACGAGTTTATGTTAAAAGAAGATAAAATTTTCTTTCATACAGATGTCAATAAAATGTTTAGGAAAATAAATGATGTTCTGTATATAAAAACACAAATTTGAAATACAATAATAAAACAGGATGACACAGGAAACGAGTTGAAAAGACACTGCGTACCTCTACCCTTGACAGAGAACGAACGACCGATTTCCGAGAACGTTCTCTTCATTGAACGCCTCTTGAAGCCGGCTTTGCTAGGATCGTCATCGCCTGGCATTATGCTGCGCCTGCGTTTCTGGTGCTGGTTCCAATGGAAGGACACCATGGCCGTCCTGATTGGGTCTCTCAGACTCTCTTCTAACTGTTTGTTGTTGATCAGCGAGTCCAGGATCATATCTGAAACATTGAGAGTTGTAGGGTGGCTGTGTTATTTTAATGAACCATTTATGGAGGAATTTAACACCGATATAAATGCTGATATACAGAATCAATCAGGATTCTACTTACAATGCTGATATTCGAGAAGCGGATTTCTTTCAGTAGCCCAATATTTTATATCGTTAAAATTTATTTTTTCTTTGACGAGCAATAATTCAAAGGGGGATAACCGTCAAACCGCTGGGTTCCTTAATTGGGGATTTCAACCAATCAAAGTGACGGAAAGATGTTATAAACTGGCTTATTCATACCTCAGTTTAACCAGCAACACTTTCGTATTATGGATATTTTTAAACAGAGGTAACTGGTAGAAAGATCCATAAGAGCTGAAAAAGAAAATGGACGTTGACTACCATTGACATTTTTTTGTAAGTCGTACAAAAGTTACCTGCAATTTGACCGATGTGGTAAGCATCCATTGAAAGCATGACTGCTCCTTGCAGAAGAGAGGACCTCAACTCGAATAGGGAATGAAGGGATAGCGAGGCCACGTGAGGCTTGGACCACCTCGAACCGCCCTCCTCTACATCCTCTTCGTATTTCACCCATCTAGAGACAGATAGACAGACAAATAGGGCTTACGGACGGGTAGAGTCTCAACATGTTAAAACAAACTTACAAAGAGAAAGGAAATAGGAAGTGTTATTTTATCAAAACAGTCTACTTTCCCATTTATGTTGTTTTATTTCGTGTGATGCAATACTGAACTTATTTGAACATGCATAACGACCATTCAAGACAATGAGGACAAGAAAGGACAAAAAGTAGGACGTAGTAAAACGGAGTGGAAATACAGATATTGGAAGCGACAAAAATTAAAACAAACAAAAATCAGTATTGCATATCGATATTATTATTCATGTCAAACTATTGTGGATTCTGAAACAGTTTCCAATGGTTTTAATTCAGCGCAACAACGTTATTCGTTTCGGTTTTTTTTTCTCCTTCCAAGATCATAGCAAAAATAAAATCTTCACGAACATTAGTATGCAGTATGTTTCTGGGGATTTGTGTGTTACATACCTCGCTGCCTCTCTCCACTGGTACTCGATACCGATTCGCTGCAGTGTGTCTAGCTGACAGAAAATGTTGTGAGTTTCCTCGTCAATCTCTCCGATCAAATGCTGAATCTTTTCACTCGGGGACATAGACGCTGTCAACATGTGAGCGGAGTATACATTACAGCACATATAGTGGTGTCAACAGTGAATTCAACTTTAGAGAACCCCCAAATGTGTCAACTTGTCCGTACACAACCTTTAATGGTGTCAACAGTGAATACAACTTTACAGAGCCTCCAAATGTGTCAACTTGTCTGTACACAATCTGTAATGGTGTCAATATGTCAGTATATACAACTTTACAGAACACCAAATGTGTCAACTTGACAGTACACAACCTTTAACGGTGTCGATTTGTCAGTAAATACAATTTTACAGAACTTACAAATGTGTCAACTTGTCTGTACACAACCTTTAACGGTGTCAATTTGTCAGTAAATACAATTTTACAGAGCCTCCAAATGTGTCAACTTGTCTGTACACAACCTTTCAGTGTGTCAACTTGTCTGTACATAACCTTAAATGGTGTCTTTGTTTCAGTGGAGACACCATTAAAACACCTCTAAACGTCTCAACTTGTCTGTACAGAACCTTGAGCGGCGTCAACTTGTCAGTCGGGTACATAGTACAATAACTGTAGTGCTGTCAACCTGTAGGGGATAAGATGTTCCGGGACATTGAGTTGTTCCAACCTGTCAGTGGCTCTCATTTTGAAAATTTGCTTAATGTGGTATATGGATGAATCTTTCAAATAAAGCGGATATATTTACAAACATTTGACTGGACATCATTTATAGTATTTCAATTCCTGTAGGTTTAGAACAGGAATATTTATCCATTTTTGTCAATTACAAACATAGGTTATTGTTGTTGTCTATTAGAGTTAGTGTTGTGCGGATGTTAGTCAGTCACCCACGTTACTATTAGTTACGGTTGTTGTATGATTGTATTCCGGCTTTGCATATTGCAGAGTTATCTTCTCTTGTGAGCAGGTATTAATTGTTACGTCATTTGTACAAGTGAGAAAATTACGTCGTTTTCTCAAAAATTGATGACGTTACTCTCACAAACATATGACGTAACAATCAATACCTGCTCATAAGAGAAGATAACTCTGCAATACGCAAAGCCGGAAAAGCACACTGATATGATTCGACATACTTGAAGTGCATTTTTCTATTCTGACCTTCTACAACACGAACCTTACTAATTAACTTCAAAATTATCATCATAAAGTAAGAAGCGTTATGGAAGTGTGTTTTTTGCATTGGAAATAATTCTGCTTTTGAGTTTTAAAATTTAGTTTAAAATTATGTTAATGCATTCACTACGCAAACGGAATTATGCATGCTCGAGGGAACCAGAAATTTGGGATATCATGAAACCGATATTTTGAAGCACAAGTTCTAAAAGGTATCTCCTCTTGCAACCCAAGTCTCAGAATCGATAACAAAAAAGAAAAACTCAGTGAAGTCCTGTCGTGCATTGTGATGACATTCGGTATCAAAGTGTGTTAGTGTGTACTAAAAGGTATACAAAGAAGCATGTTTGCACCAGAAACAAATAAACACAAGTACGCCACTTTTGAATTACACATAAACGCCTTGTACCACAATTACATACACGTTTACCACAAATACATCACCTGGGCTATAAATATACTCCCCTTGTACCGTAATGTTATAAGGCCCTCCCCCATTCGTACCACTTTATCACAAACGCTTCCTGGTACCGCAAATACACCATGTCTACCGGTACCTTTCCAACCATAAACAGCCACCCTACACCTTACACTCTTGTACTACATATTTCATTCAACAAAAATAAGGACACGTGCCCTCACCACATGGCATGCCACACACTTACCGATATAGTTTTCTACAGCGGCTATAGATATGAAGGGAAGACAGATTTAACGTTTAATAGGGAGAAACAGAAACACAGTTTTGAAGAGCCGAGTTGAACGATTTTCATCGCAAAGAAACCATATCCTGTATAAAATGAAATGCTCGTTGTGTAAAACACATTCATGGTTTTCATGGTATATATTAAACCACGAAAATAAATACAACGAATTAGAATTATATATATATATTTATATATATATAAACGATCATACGTAGACATGATCTAAATGGCTTCAAACCACGAAGGAAAGAACCCCCGAACATTCCATGTTATACAGTACATGTTAAGAGATACACACTGACATTGGTAGAATGCCACTGTATGTTTGTTTTTGCAGCTAGATATTTGGACCGTTTATTTAATAGTTATATCAATAAGCACAACGATAAAGACGTAGATGTACTGTTTAGTTCAATTTGTTGCACAATGTGTGATC